GGGACCCCTCCCCTCGCCCAAGGCCGCAGAGGGAGTGGGGGAGGCTTCGAGCCTGAATTTCGATCTAGCAGGACCTGGGACTCGGTGAATTTAGGAGATGCTTGCCCGGCGCGCCTGCGTGCGGAGGCTGAACGTTCTTCTGGAAGACACTGCTCAAGGCTGAGCCACCCGACCAAGGGGTACTGGCATCCCTGGGCAAAAGAGGGCTTCTTCAATCCTAAGTGAGGAGCCTTGCAGTTACAGGGAGCTAGAGAGACTCAAAGTTAGAGACACAGGGCAGTGGCAGAGAGGCGGGGAGGAGGAAAGGCGTTTTTTGCTCATAACCATTACCCCTGGATGGTCACCCCTTTATCTCAGACGCAACAAGCAAGCTCGGGGCTCCCTCCTTCTCTGGTATTTCGTTCTGTTTCCAGCCCTGTGGACACTTCCCAAAATCTCAATCTCAGGGATAATTCCCTCCTTTTATCCTCCTTGAAACAGCCAGGCTAAGGCAGGATTTAATCATCCCACCGCCATTCTTCTGCCCAAAACCTAGGCTCAGGGGACTGTTTGGTTCGGACTCCACAGCAGACTGGCTTCAAGGAATGTCACCGGGGGATCCAGTCAGTGCTCTTTCTTCCCCCAGGCTCAAAATGGTAGTGAGCAGGGCAGGTCTATCTTTTAAGAAATCTTCCTGTTTTTCAACCCAAGTCTGTCTTGAAATACAAAGAAATCATACTGTCTTTAACAGATTAACATTTAACAAAATACATCAGGTCCGGTAAAATATGAAAGCACTGCTTAACATTTTAATAGTGAATTTGGACTCACATACAGGGGAGAGGGCAGTGATTCCTCCCCTCAGGATGACCACAGGCCGATCTGGGCAAGGGTGAGGGGTAGGGATGCCAACTTCAGTGACCTCACTGACACTGAACTTGGGTGCAACCTGAAACGAATCCTTGCCCCCACCCCCATGGGGAAGCTGGTCACATCTGTCTGCAGCTGGAAGCAGACAGGACAAGAGCTATCGTCAAACAAAGAGACTTGGCAGGAAGAAGGGCTCTCCCTACACGGTTACACAGTGGATCCATTTGCCATTTCTCTGTTTTAAAGCAATCACTTCTCTATTGTCTGTTTATTGGGTGTGGCTGAGGGTGGACATCATGGCAAATAGGTATATGGACATAAAAGCTTATGTTGAAGTCACAGGGAGCAGGTTCTGGGCCTTTGGGCCATTCCTGTTTACCCTTTAGGTGTATTCTTAACTTTCCAGCTTCCTTACCTAAGGGGGCTGGGGTGGGGTCTTTCTTCCTCAGAGAACTGCTTCCACACTCACTGAGCACTTTACAACTGTGCCTGTGGGCAAAACCAAAATGGATTTTATTGATGTCACCACAAAGATGGTATTCTGAGCACTCCTGAAAGAGATTGCAAGATTGCAAGTGGTGGTGGTGAGGGAAGAATTGCATTTTCCCTCAAATGCACCACAATCACACTGCTGCTCATTTTTCACTTTGAGGGACATAAGGAGCAATCCAAGTCTGTGACTTTTTTGTTTGTTTGCTTATTTTTTAAAGATAAGTGTTTTCTAGAGGGAAGGGAATAAAGTTAAACGAACTCTTGAATTACTCTACAAGTACATACTCATAGATCTCAACTGGATAATCAGAATAAAGAGCTTCCCTTTTTTCCTGTCTGGGATTACAGACATAGTTGAGATAAAAACAGTCATCTTCAAATTAATTTCATGATAGATGGATTTTAGCCATCAGGAAAATAGTCACTTGGGAGTTGCCCTATTTAAAATAGATTCAGTCGATAAATTCCATATCACACAAAGTTTGTCCAGTCATTTCAACAGTGCCCTTTTTCTTTCATGAATTTATTATACTATCTTATTTACCATATGAAGTGGTGACAAGTGTTTAGCATTTTGGAATCAGTTGTCAGTTGGTATTAAAATCAAGATTAATTCATATTAACGATATGCATTTCTCAATACTCCCAGGTGACAACATACATTAAAACAACTATTGCAAGTAATTAAGCTCACTGAAGGGGGAGGGGACAGGGAGAGGTTCAAAACACCTCCAAATATTTGATTTTGCAGTCCAAGTTCAGCAGACTGTTGCCATGATAATGCTTGGGAAACTCCTCGGGGTTGCTTTTTCACTTTACATCTAATTAGGCACCTAATGAAAGAGAAGAATTTCCCCCCCCATGTGGTTTTTCTCCTTGATATTCTTATGCCTTTATCTAAATGCATAAACACACTGTTTCAGAGTCATAATATCCACAACTTCCTTCCGCAATTGACTTAGTATTATTATGATCTGAGGAATCTAAGTAGATGAGGACACTTGTTTTCCTCTTAGTTTCCACCTCCACTCTCACAGCTTTTTGGTCTTTGCACAGTACTCAGAGAAAATATACCTAAAATATTTTTATGGATTTTATTAGGCTTTAGAGATGTTCAACAGTTTATACTAATTAGACCATCCAAACCCTTTTGAAGATTAAGCAAATTGGACAACCCTTGTTAATTAGAACATAATTTGAAGTTTGAAATTATATCACTGATGAAGGAGTCTAATTAGTATGACGATATGTTAATGGACCAGTGAGACGCAGCAACAGCAGAGTTTGGCGAGAACCTCTCTAAGGCCTGCACTAAAATCCTCCCTCTTACACCGACATTAATAAAAGATTTCCATAGGCTTCAGCCTTTTCACGATGACATACAATTTATAGTACACACAATGCATTAGCCCATAGTGCTGCTCAATTTTTTCACTATTATGAAAACTAATAAATTCGTCAAGCTGAATTAAGCATACAAATCAGATGAGGCATAGCAGATTACACAGTGAAGCGCGGTGTCTCCCGAGCCTAAATGAAATTTCAATCTAATAATTCCTTCCTGGCCCAGTCATAATTTGTTTAGAGATGTTGTTCTACTTCTTTCAAAGCGCTATTCGCACTATAATTAAATGATACTCAAGCTTTTAACTTTGATTTATTTCATTTCTCAAAGCTTGAGACAGTGAGAGCTGTACAATGTCATTTCTTTATTTCCTTGAAAATTACCCTGGTTGTTGTAGAGGTAGAAATTAAACACCTAAGCATTTGCTTGAACCTTCTGGCTCAAGCCACATCCATTCATGTCAACACCCCCTCTTCAGTCCCGTGTCCAGGATTCTCAGAGCTCATGCTCGGAAACACTGCTGGTAGGAAGCCCCCTCGGCTACTATTTATTATTTTTCTCCACACAGGGGAGGAGAAAGGCAAGCCTGAGAGAAGTGAAGGAAAACATAGGGGGTTCAGGACCATGGACAGAGCCTGGGGATGCTGCAGCTTTCCAGCACTCCTTCGACTCCGGGGAACAGTGCTCAGAAACTGAGCTTGCCATCCCGCTCGGTGAGGTCCTCGGTGAACCTGCGGCCCCCTACTCCCTGCCGCCTCGGGACTTCAGGGCGCTGACCGCTAAATGGCTCCCCTTCGCCAGGATCCTTCCCACTCTGTTTTGTCCCAGCGAGAGCCAGAGCCTCTCAGGCCTGCCGCCTGCTCTAGCACCTGCTCGCCTTCCCCAGGCACCGTGTGCCTGCACCTGCTCCCAGCTATTCCCATCCGGTCGGGCCACCCGCAGGCTTCAGTATCCAAGTTGAAGGACCTTCTCACCCTCGCCTGCACCCAGCTCCTTTCTCGCTCGGGGTGGGAGGGGGGCGGGGGATGACAGCAGTCCCCTTCGTCGAGGAAAGAAGAGAGAAGACCGTGAATGGACGAGAGGAAGGTGGTGTGTGTGTGTGTGTGTGTGTGTGTGTGCCGGGGAGTGAGAGTATGTGTCCACTTCTAGAAAAGTGGTCCGCTCTGGGACAAAAGTGGGAGCAAAGTGGTGGCTAAAAATAGACTCTGCACGGAGAGACTGTGGAAATGAAGATAAGTGGGGCTTGTGCCAGCCCCCGAGGGCGTGTGTGTGCGTGCGTGTGTGTGTGTGTGTGTGTGTGTGTGTTCAGCAGCACATGCGCTCTGATCTCTGGCCTCCCTCTCCTCAGTTGCCCCTTTCTCCTTTGATCTGACTAATGAAGAATAATAAATCCAGTGGCAGGGTTTGCCACTGGAGCCGCCCAAGACCTAACTCAAACTGAACTGGGTACACAGCAGAGGAAGATCCGGAAGAAAAGAGGGTGGAGAGGAGCGGGTGGCGGTGGTGGCGGTGAGGGGTACCGGGGGTGGGGGTGGGGGGAGTCGCATGCGCATAGGCGACCCGGGCCGCTCCGTGGCCATCCAATCCGCTGAGAGCTGCGAGAAACCGAGTGAGAGAAAGCCCTGCAGCCCCATCGACCCCATGTCTCTTCGGCACCAGGCACCGGCCGGGCCGAGACGGCGCAGAGCGGAGCGCCAACCGCTGCGCGCAGGCGGCGGAAGCGCAAAGCTGGGCGGAGGATTCGAACCCGCAGCCGTGTCCAGTACAGGGGGCCGGCGCTGGGCGTCAGGGTCGCCTGAGCTACTGGGAGGGGCAGTTCGAACTGGGGAATAGGCCTGGAACTTGGCGGTAAGCAGGAGGTGGGAGTGGGGGCCAGCACTGAGGTACGGGCTTGCCAGTAGTCTGGGGAAAGCCACCCCAGGCTGAGTAGACAACTTTATTTTGGAGTTCCTTTCCCCGGGGAGGCCGCGCCGGGGCGGAAAGAGGCGGGAGGGGGTGGACGTGGGCCTCAGGTAGGAAGCGCCCCACGACTGGAGCGCGAGACCCGGCCAGTGGGGTGGGGTTGAGCGGGGGCGCTGCAGGGTGCCGGGGAGGGGCGGCGGCCTCCTAACGCGGGCGGGGGCCGGGAGGGGTGGCGGTGGGCGCGGTGGGGGAGCCGGAGGCGGGTTCCTGGAGGGCTGAAAGGACTGGAGCTTGAAGGGAGCCAGGGGGAGAACGGGCGACGCCGGAGACCGCGCTGAAGCCGGCCGTCACCAGCGGGGGAGGGCGGAGGCACGGGGGGGAGGGGTGTGCGGGGGCCGGCGCGGGGAGAGCGGAGTATAACTCCGCGGCCGCCACACGCTGGGGCAGTTTCGGGCACCCAGGTCTGCAGCCAGAGCCTGGCGGAGCCCAGCTCCGCTCCGACTGGCCGCGGAGTGCGGAGGAGCGCGGCGCCGGGGCTGGGCGAGCTGAGCCCGGAGACCCAGGCGGGTGGCCGCAACTTGGCTTCGCCCTTCGGGCCAGCGCTCCTGCCCAGCACCTCACGCGAGGGTCCCGGCGACCGGGACCAGCGCGCGCCCTACGGACAAGCGCCCGGGAAGATGATGATGATGTCCCTGAACAGCAAGCAGGCGTTCAGCATGCCGCACGGCGGCAGCCTGCACGTGGAGCCCAAGTACTCGGCGCTGCACAGCGCCTCGCCCGGCTCGTCGGCGCCCGCGGCGCCCGCCGCCAGCTCCCCCAGCAGCTCCAGCAACGCTGCGGGCGGCGGCGGCAGTGGCGGGGGCGGCGGAGGACGAAGCAGCAGCTCCGGCGGCGGCGGCGGCGGCGGCGGCGGCGGGGGCTCCGAGGCGATGCGGAGAGCGTGTCTTCCAACCCCACCGGTGCGTATTTCTGCATAATCACCGCTTACAGGCACATTTTGACAGCCCCCTTTATCTGCTTGATGTTTTTTTCATGTCGGCACAGCAAATCACCCCACACCTCCAACCAATTTTCCTCCCTCTCTCTTATGTATTCTGCGGGTCTTTCCTTTCATATTAATTTTTATGACCTGGGATGTTGCCTGTGCGCGTTGTGTGGCGTCGGCAGGCTCACTTTCCTCCTCCTTGTGAACTCTCGGCTTCTCTCGGCGGCTTCCCTCCTCTCCTACCTGCTATTTCCAGGATTATTTACTATTATTAGCACCGCTATTATTACTAAACGTTGTGGGAATGCTGCAGGCGCGGCGGAGGCGTTGAGCTGCGGGCCGCTGCCTCCGGAGAGCGCGCGCACAATTCCCTGCTGCGCGTAATGTGTGCCTTTTACTTGCAATTGCAGAGCAATATATTCGGCGGGCTGGATGAGAGTCTGCTGGCCCGCGCCGAGGCTCTGGCGGCCGTGGACATCGTCTCCCAGAGCAAGAGCCACCATCACCACCCGCCCCACCACAGCCCCTTCAAGCCGGACGCCACCTACCACACCATGAACACCATCCCGTGCACCTCGGCTGCCTCCTCTTCGTCTGTGCCCATCTCGCACCCGTCCGCGCTGGCGGGGACACACCACCACCACCACCACCACCATCACCACCACCACCAGCCACACCAGGCGCTGGAGGGAGAGCTGCTGGAGCACCTGAGTCCCGGGCTGGCCCTGGGCGCCATGGCGGGTCCCGACGGCGCCGTGGTGTCCACGCCAGCGCACGCGCCGCACATGGCCACCATGAACCCCATGCACCAAGCGGCGCTCAGCATGGCCCACGCGCACGGGTTGCCCTCACACATGGGCTGCATGAGCGACGTGGACGCCGACCCCCGGGACCTGGAAGCGTTCGCCGAGCGCTTCAAGCAGCGACGGATCAAGCTGGGGGTGACCCAGGCCGATGTGGGCTCGGCGCTAGCCAACCTCAAGATCCCCGGCGTGGGCTCGCTTAGCCAGAGCACCATCTGCAGGTTCGAGTCCCTCACGTTGTCGCACAACAATATGATCGCGCTTAAACCCATTCTGCAGGCGTGGCTGGAAGAAGCCGAGAAGTCCCACCGCGAGAAGCTCACCAAGCCAGAGCTCTTCAACGGCGCCGAGAAGAAGCGCAAGCGCACGTCCATCGCCGCGCCGGAGAAGCGCTCGCTCGAAGCCTACTTTGCCATCCAGCCCCGACCCTCCTCTGAGAAGATCGCCGCCATCGCAGAGAAGCTGGACCTTAAGAAAAACGTGGTGCGAGTTTGGTTCTGCAACCAGAGGCAGAAACAGAAAAGAATGAAATACTCCGCGGGCATTTAGGAGTCCCTTGGCCTCCCTTGGGACAGCCCCCTCCTCTTCCCCTCTTTTCCCTCCTTCTCTCCCCTGCTTTTTTCTTTCCACTTTGGCGACCAGAAACAATTCCAGTAAATGTGAATCCGGAGAAAGCGAGGCGTGGAGAGCAAGCGGACTAGCGACCCACTGAGCCCAGGTCCCGTGAGAATGTGAAACGGTTTCATAAAGGAAAGCAAAGCAAAAGAAGGCATTTGTCAAGTTGTAGCAAAGTTGCCCCTTTTAACCCCACCTTCCCCGGAAAAGGCACCTCGGCTTCTTCAGAGGAAGTCTGGAGCTGGCTGTTTGCAGAAAGGCAGAAGAGACAGCCTGTTAAAGGGCCGCGAGAACGAGCAAGTAAGATTTGTTTTTATTCTTAAAGACAGCACCCTTGTTCAAGTTAAAAAGTACACTTTGCAGCTATTTTTCCGAAATAGAATTTGATTCAGAACTGAAACTTTAAACTAGAGTTGATGCTTAAGGTGATAGACATCTCTAAAGTATTTTGAATTTTAAAAAGATGGCAGATTTTCTGCATTTACACTGTATATTATATACATATATATATATTTTTATCGTGGTTCTTAGCCCCTTCTTCCCTCTGAAGTGTTAATGTCTAAGAAAGGAGTTGCGCCTGCTGTGTTCACTGATTTGAAAGCTATTATTAGATTATTGCTGAACAACCCTCTGTAAATTATTAATTTATCTCTCTGGCGACTTAATTTTGTGCACATTCTAATTAATTAAACTTTAGTCTGAAAATGAGGGAAACGTATGGTTAGTGAGTTCAAACCTTTTTTTTTATGAGCTCACTCAATTATTACAGTTTTCCTCTTTTACTGTGTTCCTTTTTGGCCCATTTGTATATTCTCACTTTGAATGAAGATTTTTTTTTCTTTGTTTTTGCTGGTGGTGTTCTGATTTGTGAGTCCACACTCAGTATTGGATGTCTTAATCTTGTAGACCTGATTCACTGTCCAAAGTATTGTTTACTTCCTTACATATTTAATGGGGATTCCCACACTGTTTCCACTATACAGCTTTCTCACTCCCCCACACATTCACACACAAGCACACTCACACTCACACACACACACCCCTCTGATGAAAGAGAGATGAAGCGTTTGGGAGCGTGTCATGCATCATTTTCTAGCTTTGGGTGCACTTGCCTTTCCAGATTCTAAGATTTCACCAAGGTATTTAAGTCTTCTCCTTTCCAGTTGCTTTACTACACTGTAACATTTATAGGAATCCTTCGTTGCTGTTTTTTTTTTTTTTTCCTTTTGGAGGTTTGTTTGTAGAAAACTAATTTGAACTATTAGAAAGACAGTGCACTGCTTGTAAATTCACATTGTTTGCTAGAATTCTTTTTGAACAACAACAAAGAATTAGGCACATGATGACTGGAACCTTATCTATTGTAAATATTTCATTCAAAATGATGCACATATAGATATATTCTTACAGATTTTGCTGTATCGCTGTTCCATTTAAGGTTCTCCAAAGTCTTGAGTTCTGTATATGACCTGTTTTTTTTTTGTTTGTTTGTTTTTGTTAATAGATGGTTTATTTACTATGGTATTGTATTAAGTTATTTTTGGTGTTGTCTTTCATTGAAGAGATGATTTTAATGTTTTATTGACAAAGTATGCTTCTTTTTTTTCATTAAAATATGCTATTAAAATTAAATGGCTTTTAAAGCGTGATGTTTTTTTAATTCATTTAATGGAAATTATTCCAATGGGGCTTTTTTAAAATCAAAAGCATATTTTGATGGTTTGACTAGGGAAAGGTTGTCACCAAAGTAATACTTGTATTTAGTAGGGGCTGTCTCTCTAAGAAAGTATAAATAACAGGGTTTATAGTGGCCTAAAAATAGTCAGAGTTCATCTCACAGGATGCTTTTTTTTTGCTTTTCTGCCCAGATGAGATTGTGGTATTTGTCTCCAGATATTTCCCTTGGAATCATTTCTCTAGAACTGCAATAGTTCTGCTTAGAGATCTTTGTGAGTAGTGATATTACATGGGTAAAAGGAAGAAAGGAACTAGGCTGAGTTTTCCAGCAGCCCTAGAACATTGGGTGTGGCAAGGACCAGGGCCTGATAGGGGGATTAAGGCAAACTGATTGCGTCTTGAGACTGTCCCACTAGAGTTCTCACTTAAATCACCATTCCTGAGAAGCTGTGCCCCAAAGCCAGAGCAGAGGAGGATGCATCTAGGTTACTGGGTTATGAAGTAAGCCCTTCCCTCCCCTTTCACATAATCTTTGAGCAAAGTCACATTCTGCAATAGGCAGTGTGGACTAAACAAACAGTCCTGGGGTGGTTCAAGGTGACACATTCCCCCCCCCCTTTTATGACTCACCAGAAACTAGAGTTGGTAGAAGTCTCTTCTTTCATGGTGGTGTTGCACAGAATTTTTTTTTTTGCCCATTTTCTTTTTCTAATTCTAGTTTAAAGACATCTTCATCCATTTTAATAAATTTTAGATGTCTACATCAGCTGAGCTATGTGTTAAGTTTTCAGAGTTTCTTATTCAGGAATATTCTGATTTAGATGTTTACATTATTTATGCTGTAAACATCACACAAATCTATAGATCAAAGAAGAAGAAGGAACCAGATCATGCTGTAAAGTCATTCTGATAACCTGATATGTGATCTGCTATGCAACTACCTTGGGATGTTTCTTATTTTGAGGATGAGTCTATAAAATATTCCATGTGTCAATGAAAACTGTTTTAGTGATTCAAGTTGGGATTAAATGTTGGAACGCTGATTATATAAATTTCAAATGTAACAGAAGTTGTAAAAGTTGAATGGCTGGGAAGGGTACTTCTTTTTATACCTAAAGTAAAGATGATATCTGAAGAGACAAGAAATCCATTTATATCCACCTAGAAATGATTGCATAGGTGTCTAAGGAGGTACTGAAAGATGTTTAAAAGAAAGCTGTGAATTCAGATATGGTGATGTTAATGATTTATTTTACTGGTATGTTTTGGAGGCTGAAAGTGCATTCTCTCATGTTTCCCTTTAGATTTAGTTTTCCTGAAAGCCTTTTCAAAAGTCAAGTCTCCAATATCACTATCATGGGGTACAGATTTCAGCACCATGGATAGTAACCACAGACAGTCCTACTCAAAAGCACTTTTGACCATGCCAAAATTCTAGCCAATGGGAGAACTTTTTACTTGCTTACTATTTTCAAAGTGGAGAAAATAAAATTAATGACTTGAATGTGCAGCAAGTCAGGTTTGACGATCTGAATAAAACATAAAGAAATAATATCTCCCTTTCCCATGTGTATTATCTTAAGGGTCATAGATATCTGCATTAAGAGAAAGGGGAGTTGTTTGGGGGAAGATGGACAGGTGTATTAGTGGTTTCTTTTTACAAATGTGGCATCTCTAAATGAAGAAAACAATTCTGTAGTAGTAGTACAAATTGAGTACTGTCAAATTGAATAAAACAGGTGTTTTTATGTTTTGATATACTTGGTGGCTTGCATGCATGCATGATAGTTCAAGATTCTTGTGAGTAGAGTGACATGAAAACCTTATCTCTTTATTCCCTCCTTTAACCTCAAGTGTTTTGTCTCCTTTGTTCCTAGACTTTTAAAACCATATAACATTTTAAGTTCATCTTTTCTATGTTATTACAAGGGTGTAATAACATGGACATTATACCCATTATTTAAGTCTGCTTCAGTATGTTTGTTTTATAGGGGAAATAGAATTTAAAAAAGGAAATATATTCTGAGTGTTTTTGTTAAAGGCAGTTGTAAAGAGACAAACCACAGCAAACCAGGAATTGGAGAGAAAGAAATTGCTTTAAAGAAGAAATTAAAGGTAAAACTACAATGAACTTTGTATAAACTATTGAGAATTACTCATTTGGTGTTGCTTTTCAAAATCTTCAGTTGGGAAACAGAAAAATGAGACTTTTAGATAAACCAAATTCATTGGCATTCATGACCCATTTCCTGATTTTTTCCCCCTCAGGTGTACAATTGCTTTTTTATTAGAGCTGGTTAGTGAATTGACTTAGCAGCACACCAGTCATCCTCAATAAGATTTTTCAGAACCATGTAATTAAAAAAAAAAAACTTCCTTAAAAGCAAATGGTGCAACCTTTTTGTTCAATATGATCATCTGTACTGAAATGGAATTTGATGGACAACAAAGATCATGTAAGACCTGGTTAATATCTAAATATTCTCTACATCATCTGGATTGTACTATTCTGGAAAGAATGACTGGAACACCCTTCCTATCTTAAACTAGTTGGTCAAATTTTTATCACTTAAGGTCCACTGATACATAACAGGGGAGGGGAATAAAGAGAATATGAAAAAGTAAATGAAATAATAGGATTCACATACAATGCAATGTTATGTTATTTTCTATAGAATATATATTTAAACAATTGACCATTCACAACTTTTAACTATCTTCTTACATTAAGGACAGACGCTAGGGTCTCTCTTTGTTAAGAGAATTAAAGTTTTGGTGGTAAAAGAATCCCCTTTTCAAACTTCAAATGAAGCAATTCATTTTGATCTAACTGTTAGAGAAGGCCTTGAGGAGATGGTGGGGAAATAGTTAAATTCACAAGGTTTTAAAAGGCACATTGTTCATAGAATGAAACTCAATTTTTCCACCTAAATCATGACAGGAAGTTCAGAAATTCATTGTTTCAATTATTTGGTGAAAACAATTTATATTTCTAGGTAAATGATCCACATTAAAACTCAAACATGCATTTCACTTTCAGTTGGCTTTAGGGAAGGGGGGGGTAAGTGGGGGCTGACTGGTATCTTGATAGGACAAAAAAGAAGACAAAGGTTCCCAGATAGTTATGATGATAGAAATATTCCAGAAGTCTACATTGTCAGGGGACAGATTTATGGCAATGAAGAAAAAAACACTAAAATTTTCTGCTGTGCTCCTTTAAAGGACCCACTCCCAGGACTGAAAGGCTATTACGAGTGAATTAATAAATTACACAGCAAATTATTAAATCCAGATAATTACAAGGAATGAGTAAGTAATCATTAGTTATCTCAGCTAATTACTGTGGGTCAGAGCCAGCCAGAATGTGAAATCCTCCTCGGGAATTGAAATTAACTTTGCACAGTGAGTCTCTCTGCTTGACATCCCCAGTCTGTAGGCACACAGCAGCTCCCTTGTGAGTCAGTCTTTCTATTTAACTTGGAGAGAATAGAAATAAAATTAAGTGGCGATGTGATAATAGGAATCTGCTCAGAAAGCAAACTGTGGGTTTTATTTTGTACTTTCAGCGCCTGGAGATGAAAAGCTTTATTTACACCAGTTTCAAAAAATGTAAAGCACTCTTGTTGAGATGGGTTCCCTGAACACACACACACCTACAGTCTGGTGAGACAGATCAACAGCACATGAATAAGGTTCAAGAAGAAAGAAGAACAAACAATGTTTTTAGGTGTGTGTGTGTGTGTGTGTGTGTGTGTGTGTGTGTGAGAGAGAGGGAGAGAGAGAGAGAGAGAGAGAGAGAGTGTGAGAGGTGGGGGCAGCAGTGAGAAAGAAAGAAAATGAAACTATTACTCTCTGCTTTCATCCTACACCTTGGAAAGGCTGTCGAAAAGTGCAGCCTGGTCTAATAATGTTTGTTTTGTTTGGGTAACAATATGCTTTCATCTTGCCACAGGAAAAACCAGCTTAGTGCAAATGTCCTCTCTGGTTGCTCTTTCACCAGATGCTGCAAGAACTGATTTCACTTTTTTTTCCCCATATAGCATCACTTTCTAAAGCCAGACTCTACTGCCCTCTCTTCCTCCAAGCCTCTCCCTCCTCAAAGGGCAGGCAGCCAAGCCCAGTGCCTGTTCAAAAGTGTAAAATGTATCTGTGTGATGTAATGATTGTGGGTATCACAGGCCTGGGAAAAACTGGACATAGGCAGAAAACTGCTGTTAATATATTAAAATGAGGGGGATCTAAGAGCTTTTTTTTTTTTTATCAATTGCAATTAGATGGACAGTCTTTCTGCTCATTCCCTGCTCTAGTCTGGGATGATAATAAAAATTTAATGAAGCCTGGGACGAGCAGAGAGCTCTGTCTAGGGACCATGGAATAGAATATTTTAACTGTACATTTATACCAACTGTCTGGCTTCAAAGACGTGACTGCTTTTAATCTCGAATTAGAAAACCACAGACTTGAAATTAAATATTAGATACTCTCCGATCCCCTTCCTTTCTGAAATTTGTCACGACTCTGTTTTCTTCTATTGGTCCATAACACACATATCTTAGGTCCCCAATTACATTTCCGTGAATAATAGATGGCTTGGATAGGGTGCGGTATTCTGGTGCTTTTGTTTTTTTTTTTTTAATAGAGTTAATGCAATATTAATTGGCCGTAGATGTTATAAGAATGCACAGCCTTCTTTTCAGGAACAAATCGATGAGATAGGGATGTAAGAGACAAGGAAGGCGAAGGCTTCTCCCAGCCTAGGTCACTTCTTTGTGGAGGGGACCTTCTTAGAGCTTCGGGTAAGTGAGGAGGGTTCCTGAGATCCAGGGGTTTTCTGTCTCGCTGCTTGGAAAGAGGACTAAGGAGGAGGGTGGAGGCCGAGAAAAGGGACAGCGAGAGTGAGAAGCAGGATCTG